TCGATTCGATTTGAAAAAATCAAATCAAATTCAAATTGCTTAAATATTTGATTCGATTCGATTTTGAGGAACCCTAGGCGATAACATCTGAATCTTGCGTAGCAGTTACCTTAAAATGCGAAAGAGGGGGAAATAATTCAAGTTAGTCAGTGTCGCAGTATACCAATTATTAAATTAATAGGTGAATAAATTTATTAGACAATAGTAATTAGTAAATATTCAATATTATTGGTGAATGTGAAACGCGTGCAAAAATGAAGCTTGCTTACCTTCTTGAACTTTATTAATGAAATTACTGATTCTTATTACTGGATCAAGAGGTAATTTATTTTGAAGAAGATGTACTGATAATTCAAGGAAACTTTTACCATCAATATCTGATAATTCAAGAAAACTGCTACCCTCAATACCCTGATCATATAATATATTGATAACTTCATCATTAATATTTAATTCAACTTTCCTCCTTTGCAAACATTCTTTAACATCTTCACGACTCCATGCTTTTACTTCTTCAATTGTAGGAAGGTAGATACATAGTAGCTAGAAAAACTTGTAATTTTAGACATTGTTTTTTGTCGTGAGAAAAATTTTTGGAGGTATTGGGTGCGTTAAGTGTCGATTACAGATGCCGACGGAATACTAAATATAGTAATGATAAAGATGATCATCAGTAATGCTGCCCAGACATTATAAAATGGGATGGTAATTTAGGCCAGTTGACATCTGAGGCAAATCGACACCTGACGCACAACATTCCATTAATTTGTCCTCAAGCACAAAATTAAAAGATAAACAAATTATTTATAATAGATTATTACAATTTATAGCTAATTTTATATTATTTTTTTATATAGTATATATAAGGGTACAGCTTTTATTCTAAATATTTTGCTATTTATTTCATGAATTCGTTGCAATTGAGATTTTTTTTGGATTCATAATACTTTTTTTTTTAATTTTATTATTATTATTTAGCAAATAAATCAGCTCATTAAATACATTTACTTTAATTCTTTTATTATTGTTTTTATTAAAAACTTAGAGGTTCTCCATATCATACAATCCCTACCAGAAAGTTTAGGATTACCCTTGAATTTGAAGATCTTTTGTAATCATGTGAGAATTACATTATATTTATTATGATACAATAAATAAATGATATCGGTTCTTTCATTTTCCACATTTTTTTGCTTTATTTTTTATACTTTCTTTAATAATAATGGACACAGCTTACGGAATTTGAACATGAAGTAATTATTGGTTTTTATCAAGCAGGATACTCTGAGAGAATTATATCTGAAAAAATGGGTCACTCAAGAACAGATATTCATAATACAATATTAAAATAATGTAAAATAGGTATTCTTACTTACTGTTGCTCTTCAAAGTGAGCAACCTAAAAAATTAGATGAAAGTGATAAATGGTATTTAAAGCTTATTATTAGTAAAGAAAGATGTAAACCAGCATAAAAAATAAAAGAATTTTTGTAAATTCAACTGAAAAAGAAAGTATATATTAATACTATACAAAATGAATTTTATATGATATCATAGTTGAATTGCCTTTTGAAAGCCTTACATAAGTGAAAAACATAGATATTTACGATTAAAATGGTCTTGAGAAAGGCATTTATGGATAATAGATAATTGGAAAAGAAAAAAAATCATTTGGAGTAATGAATCAAGGTTCACCTTATTTCAGAATTATGGAAAGATTCATGTTTGGCGTTTTTCAAAGGAAAAATATGATATTAATTGCCTTACTCCAATAGATAAGTATGGTAGTAGTGGAGTTATGATGTAGTGATGTTTTTCATAATATGGGTTAAGTCCTTTAGTAAGAATTAATGGTTGAGTTAATAGTGAAAGATATATAAATAAGATTCTTTAATATTATTTAATTCCATTTTTGGAAGAATTTGAAGAAGAAAATGGAGAGTATTTTTTTCAGTAAGACAATGTACCAATTTACACTAGTAGACAAATATAGCTTTTCATTGAAGAAAATGAAATAATTCTTTTATCATGGCTGGGACAAAGTCCTGATTTGAACCCTATTGAACACTTATGGGATAAACTTGAACATAGCATCTGATCTAGAAAGATAATCCCCAAAAGTTTAATTGAATTAAAAGAGGTTTTTGCAAAAATCATGGTCACAAATTTCTAATGAAGTTTATCAAAAACTGGTAAATTGAATAAAGGTTGTTTTGAAGGCATGTGGCTTTCTAACCAGATATTAAACGAGAATTTTAATTAAGATTTTATATTGGTAATTATAAAAATTTAATTAAATAATTAAATTATTTTGATTTTTTTAATGAAAATTTTATATTTATATGATAGTTATGAATATAATTATGCTTTATAATTTTTTTTTCGAAATTATTATATATAATATCAAATTTTAAATAAATATTACTTTAAATAAATAATTACTAAATTTGGTTAAAAATGATACATATAAATATAATATATTAAACTAAATTATTTTGGTTAAAATTTACATATAAATTATTGAAAAACACTCATAAATGACCAAAGAAATTATATATATTTATTAGAGTTTAATAACAATTAATGATGAAAAAAAATTTTAATTTTTTAAGAAATTATTAACTGGTCTTAAACTTTTTGGTAGAGTGTATTTAGGGCGGATTTTACTCTGGTCACCTAGATACCATTAACTTATACTAACCCAAGAAGTTGCTAAAATTACATGATTATATTATTTGGTATTATACCCAAAATATATCGAGAAGTGATATGGGTTGTTTTCTAAAAATAAATTGTTTCAAATAAGTTTATCATAAATCAAATCCCTCAGTTTAAGAAAGATTAGCTAATGATATAATAAATATGGTTTGCTATAGAGATAAAATAGAAATTTAATAAAGAATTTTTTTTTTACAACTATTTTTCGCCAATATAATTAATAAAAGATTAAAAAAATTAAAGAATAGTTAAATAGTTACATTGAATTGTAACATATTATGTACTTTTACTTCATTAATCTGTATTTAAATATTATATTCTAATGCTTTTGATGTATAAGGTTCATTTTCCAATTTAATTTTTTTATTGCCTTTATCTATAAAATTAATTCAATTACTAAATGTTATTTTTTTTTTTTGATTTTTTTGAATTTTATAAATTTATTGAAATTATATATCATACCGGCATTACTTTCAAATATATCGCCTTCAAACTTTCGTTTACCTTTTTTTTTAAAAAAAAGGATAAAAAGGTTATCAATAATTTTAAATTCAAATTTGTTGTTTAACTGATTGTAAAATAAAAATTTTAATTTTAGTTACCAAAATCCGAAGAAAAAGATTGACTTCGTAATCTTCTTGTGGATACTGCGGAGTTTATCAATTTACTTAAAGATCTACTCTTATAAAAAGCACCTGGATTGTTTGTTGTTACTGGCCCAATTTCTGATGATTCTACAATACCTGTTGGATTTCTTCGTTCAGATTCATACATGTTCCAAATTCTACTACTGATGCCACTAGCTGGCCTTTTACTTTGATCAGGGTCCCAGCATTCTTTCATTAGCTCAATATAACCTTCAGGTGCTACAATACCTGTTAGAGGACGTAAGCCATCACAAATATCAATAATCAGCTCAGTATCATGAGTACGATCCCAAAAAGGTCTTCTGCCTGTCATACATTCCCACATAATCATACCAAAACTATAAATATCCGATGCTATGGTATATTTTTTCCCTTGAAGAACCTCTGGTGCAATATAAGGAATAATTCCATAAGTTTCATTATCTTCAGCTTCTGTAGCAGATTTACTTAATCCTAAATCACCTATTTTAATATAATTATTGTTTATCAAAATATTTCCACTATGCAAATCTCGGTGGATAATACTCTTTTTATGAATTTTTGATAGGCCTAATGCAATCCTATATAAATTACTTAACTTTTTATCCCAACTAACATTAAAAAAATCTTTAGCTATATCATGGGATAGATCTCCTGTATTACAAAATTCCATAATTATCGCAAATTCTTTAGTATTAGGATCTTGCGTAATTCCATAATACTCATTAATAATGTTCCTGTTTACTTTAAATTTATAAGATATTTTAAGCTAAAAAAATAAGATTATTAATTCAGTATGTATCATAATAAATAAAAAAAGGAAAATTTATATATACCTCGTTTAACTCCTTAGAAGTAAAGTTTTTAGAATTGTTAAGTTTCTTAAGAGCAATTATTTGATTAGGATTCCGATTATATTTATGTTCTTTATAATCCCAACTCTTTATTGTACCATCAATCCAAGTAGCTTTATATACTTTACTAAATCCTCCCTCACCAATAAATTCTATATTTTTGAATTGTTCATATGGAACAAACTCCATTCTATCTCTAACGTTACTATCAAAAGTATGAATATATTTGATAAAATCGTCAATAATTTTGTTTCCACTTGGATTATAAATTGTATTTGCTTTATAATAACAAGTACGGCAAAGCTTATTATTTTCTTCAAAGGGTTTACTTCTTTTTTTACATACAATGCATTTCTCAAATTTATATATAGGCTTTAATTTAACCTCGGTTTGCATTTGCTGACTTGATGTGTCATTTTTAATTTGATTCATGATTACTATGAAAACTTCGTTTAAGGAATTCAAAAAACTGAGCTATACAATGATTATCATTTCGAAACTTCTTAATAGAAGTTTCCATTGATTGCGCCCTAATTTTGACCACAAAATTTGACTCATTCGTATCACAATAACATCTGCCTTGTGATACATTGAAGCTCTTGGAAGATTAGATGCACTATTGGAAGCACCTTTGGAAGGTTTGGAAGCATAATTTCTAATAAAATCATTTGCTCGGAAGCTTCCAATCAAAACTTTATATCATTGGAAGTATACATACACATCATTGCATTGAAGCCACAAAAACAACCCATCGGAATAAGAATGTTCTATTATTGCTTTTTTATTTTAGAAGCTTAAAAGCTTTAAATTAGGCCACGCAAATTTGGATTTTCGGTTTACGTTACACGACTGGGTCACATTTTTGGATTTCAATCAAAAAATTTTTATGATGTGAAATTTTATCACGTGCCTTCGAAGTATAATTTTATTGGCGCAAATATTTATAAATAGAATAAAGAAAAATAAAAATATTATAGAAAAGTAAAGAAATTATAGATGAATTATAGAAATTATTAAAATTATAGAAAGTTAAGATTAGCGATCATCGGGTTTACATTACAAATTATAATACTAACACCGTGAAGTTACTCTAAAAAAAAAAATATCGCTTCAATAAAATTCCGAATTTGTTCTAATGATTTTATCAATAAGTAATTTTATTTAATTTATTTACTGAATAGATGAATAATAAATAAGCTTTAACAATAATTAATTGGTACATGAAAAAGAATTATAAATAATCAAGGATGTCTTTTAATTCAAGTGAATTGTCCAGTTCTTTCTTTTGAAAATACCTATACTCAAAAGCTTCTGGAACATCTGGATGTAATTTATATAGTGGTAAAAAAGTTTGTACGCTAGGAATATAATTTTGATCTCTTTCGGTAGATATGAAGCGAACATAATCGATTTTCTTTAAAATGTTAAATTATAACTTGTTAGTTTTTTTTTAATATTACATTAAAAATATCATGATTAAAAATAATTTAACGAGATCATACCATATCAATAAACCCATTTTTTATTTCAATTGAAGGTTTCACCCATGTAAATTTTAATGTAAATGGCAAACTGTATTCAATCCAACCCAATCCAATAAGTTTTGACAAATCTTCATATGTTAAGGTATGCCTATGCGGCAAATGATCCTACAAAAATTAACGATTTTTTAATATCATAATATCATATCAATCAAGGAAGTTTAATAGTAGGCAAGCTTACATCATCTTTAATTATAAAATTCAAAGAACAATCTTTAGACGATACATCATCAATGCATATTCTCCAAACCATATAGGATCCCCAATAAGGTTTCAATAAATTAGGTAAAACCATCATTAGTGGTTCATATTTAACATGTATCACTTTTCTTGATAAACTTTATTAATTAAACATAATCAATAGTTAATATAATATCACATAAATATGCATCGAGGATAATATCATATAAAATATATTTACCTTTTGGAATTAACTTCTTGAATATGATGAAAATATTTACTATCAATATTGGCAAGATTTGATACGAAGTAAACACCTATAACTATAAATAAAAAAAAGAAAAGAAAAGGAAAATGTTAATTTGTTTTAATATAATAATAATAAGAAAATAAAAATTAAAAATTTTCATACCGAAATACATATAAATATAAAATTTTTCAACAATCCCAAGGCCAATAAATTTATTATCAAGGTTATAATAGCTGCATAAATACTTCAAGAAACCAGAATATTTTCGTAAAAAATAAAGGAATTGAATATCTTGACGATTCAAGTCAAAAAATCTATTAAAATTTTCTAATGCTTTATCATACATCTTTAATTTGATATAAATGTTACATTTTATAAAAAATTTAATCTGATCATCAATTTTAGAAAAACGATCAATTTTGGCGATAATCTTGGCAATCTTGTGATTTAATTTTTTATAAGCACGATAATGTGACATAAAATTTAAATATATTAAATGGATTTTTGCCAAATCATCATTGGGATTTAATTGTATACATTTTTTAAAATCCAAAATTGAAATGTTTATGTTTTCCACTATATAAAAAATCAACCCTCTGTAATAATACGCCAAACTATATAATGAGTCTAAGCCTAAAATTCTATTAATGTCCATTAATGCCTCGTTGTATTTTTCAAGTATAAGATATGTTGTAGCTCTGTTGATTAAATTATGAACATTTTCTGGATCAATAGTATTTGCTTTCGTAAAATACGATATTGCCTCATGATACTTTTTTAAGCTTACTAAAATTTCACCATAAAAACATAAAATTAAAGAATCATTCCGATTAATACATAATAATTTATCCAAGGTTTCTAAAGCTTTTTGATGATTTTTTTGCTTTCGATAGATAAAAGCACAATTTTTTAAGCACAAATAATGGTTGGAATCCTTGTTTAATGCTTCGTGAAAATTCGTTAAAGCATTATTATAACCATCTTTATTATTATAACTTTTTTCAAAAATATAGCTACTGCCAAGTATTATATTTAAATTATTCATCTTTATCTTATAATCCATTGATTTTAATATAAACTCTATTGACTTGCTATAATTCTTTTGTCTATAATAGATTTCTCCATTGATATAGTAGGCGATCGGATTTTTTGGTTTTATGTCGATAGCCTCATTGAGATATACGTGCGCCTTTTCATAATTAAACAAGCATCTATAAATGTATCCTAAAATACATCTTATGCAATAATGTTTTGGAAATTTTTTCAGAAATTCTTGACACCAATATATAGCTCTCTCATAATTTTTTCCTGCCAATTCCTTCATAGCATTTTGATATGTTGAATGTTGTTTTTTTGAAGTTCTATTTGGCATTATTGATTGAAATAACGTATTTGAATTTGATTTCGTTGCTCTAACGAGGTTCTTTTCTTTGATTAGTTCAAATTCAATTTCTGATAAATTGTCCGAGTCGGAGTCACTATCGTCCGAATCTTCAAAGTCAATTGAAGGTAAAATATGTCCAGGCTTGGAGTTTTGCGCACATAAATTTTTATAGATGGTATTTTGTGATAAATGTCTACTCTTGTTATTCTCAATATGTAGTCGACATTGTGGACACTTTGCTTGTTTTAATTCTTTCAAATTATTTAATGTTATCATATGTTGACATCCCAAGAGACATAGTTGATCAGTCGGTACATCGCTTATTTCATCAGCAAGATTATGATTGTAAGATATATCTTTTGTCAAGTAATTGTCTTTACTCTTTCTTTTTTTCCTTTCAGTATTACCATTAATTATCTCAACATCCTTTGAATATCTTTTCTTAATGAATTCTAATAGAACTTTAAACTTTTCTGAAGAATTTATTAAAAATTTATTCTCACGTAATTCTCGTGCGTATTGATCTAAATCAATATCTAACGTTGTAAACAATTCACTATTAATGTCATGTAGGTTTAATAATATTTCTATTGCCTTAAATTGAATAAAGCTGCTTGGAGCTTTATTGAGGGATTCAATTGCTAAATAATAACATTGGTTATACGTACTCGATTTAGATGATTGTCGAACAAGTTCATGTACAAGGTCTAATAATCCAAACCATAGGGAATGTGGTAATTCAAGAGGTTCATTTCCGGAAAAATCATTAAAAATTCTTCCAGTATTTCTTAGCATCTCGATCAGTCTATTTGATTCCTCATCAAATTTAGTTTGAAAATCCAAGATCGTTTTATCAGCAACTTGAATCCATTCTCTTTCCAAATAAGCCCTAATATATTCTATCAAAATCATTTCACCATGCTTTTTACTAATAATCTTTTCTGAACCTTCAGACCATTTGATGAAATCATGTTTAATTATCATCATAATCCTCCAATCTACGTAATAAGATGCTACTGGATATTCAAAACTTAATGATTGGCGCAGTTGGGTGAGCGTTGATAAAATTGAGCAATTACCATTCGGAATAGAAGCATAAGGTGCTACAATTGAAACAATTCCCGGTGTAATATTTAAGGAAGCTTTAAGCAAGTCTTTTGTTCTTTGTAAAACTTCTTGAAACCAAGTTTCATTATCACCCAAGCTATGAAGTGTGTCTCGTAATTGAATCAACAAAAAGTCAATATTATAATTACGCTTTTTAGCGATCTTTACATCTTTATAGTCATTTTGTTGATTGAATTGATAAAATTCAGATTTAAAGATGTTTTCGATTCCTTCTCCAATTATTTGAGCTGTCTTTCTATGGATTTCTGCAAATACCGTCAAAGAATTATAAATCTTGTTTCGAAGTTCTTTAGTAAGGCGTATTTGGGAGAAACATATCCTTTCTAGTATTGTTATCCATGTACGTAAGTGCAATTCCAACCTAAATGTGCTCTCTTTTGAATAGTTTAATTTAAATGGGACTGGATCGGCTAAGGCGACCAACGAATTTATTAATATTTGATCCGAAAATTCATTTTGTAAATCTTCAAAAAGTAACCTTAGAGCACATAGGAAATTTTTATCGGTCAATTTTTTAACAAGTTCTTTGGCCTTTTCATCCGGTGTAACAAATCCATCCTCTTCTAACTTGATTAAGACCAGATTTTCTTTAATATTTTTATTCATAATTTTCAACTTTTAAAGTGGGGGGTTTTTTTTTAAAAATAAAAATCAATATTTTGTACGTTTACAACGAAACTTAATCTTTTTAAAAAAAAAAAGCTTGATATTTTAAAAACGACGAAAATTTCTTATTCACCTGGTTCGAATTTCTTTTTAGTCGAAAATGCAATGAAAATGAAACTGGAAAAAAATAAATATAAAACTGCAAATTTGAAACACTTCATCTCAACCCTTATTTCGTGCTTGAATTATTATTTGGCATGCATAATGCAACATTTTGGATTAGGAAATGATGAACGTAATGTTTTTTTTTCACTTCAATCGGCTGTTTCGTTATTTTTGATTTTAATATATTATTTTTTTATTATATTTTTATACTGTAAGAAACTTGATCGTAACGGTCTTTTTTTTTTAGAATCTCGAAACGTCGCAAGGTTGCATTTTTTTTACTGGCATGTCCGGCACGTGATATATTAACTAGTGCTCCGAGCCGGTCGAATCGACCCGGGTCATTTGACCCGACTCGAGAAAAAATTCGAGTCGGGACTAT